AAAAAAAAATTACTGAACAACAAAGCTTCAACGAACTGATCAAGAGAACTTGAAGTAATCAAAATGTCTAGCTCTCACTCTATTTCTACACACATAGTATATGATCTCAGCAACCCAATACAATATACACCTTAATCGGGCTTTAACTTGCATCCACCTTCTTTTGCCAATCAATCGAGACCTTAGGTCACAGCCCATGGGTCTCAGACGACTGAAAACACCCACGTTCCTTTGTTCACGCAAGAAAGAGAACAAAACTAGCCGAGCAAGTCCTTGAACAAATTTGGGTTCTGGCCCGATGGTGTGAACCCCATCTGCCTCACTAGGGCGTCCTTCTCCAGTGCCTCCTTCAAGTTTGGTCCCTTATTCAATTGCGGCACAGTATTCTCCCCATTACTCCCTCCTCCAAGACCATTCTCGATACCAAGAGTTGGGACACTCACAGACATGTCAGCAAACAGAGACATAAAATCGGATGACGACTCCACATTCGAGCCAACTCCAACTCCACCAATTACAGTGTTTGTTCCGTCCTGGCTAAAATCGAGACCTTCCAATTCCATAAAGGGGTCAACAGATGGTTCACCAAAGCTATCCATAGACGGCTCGCCCAAGTCGAGCAAGTCGGGGGGCGGTGGCTGGGATACTACGGCAGCAGTAGGACGGGACTTTTCTGAAACGGAAGCCTGATTTTGAGGTTTTGTGACCTTCTGATGTCTCGACTCGGGCCGTGACCCGCCCCCAAAGAGCGAGGCCGCCAGCTTCTGCTTCTCGGGCGATATCTCCACTTTTTGCTGCTTTTTTGAACTGCTATTGATGCTGAAAGATGAATCGTTGGCCCTCATGTTTGAGTTGTTGATGGCTGAGTCGTGATGAGTTGACTCGCTCTGAATCCTCACATTATCTGCACTTGAAGTGGATGGGGCGGGGGAGGCGCTGTAGGTGGGGCGGCCCCACTTCCTCTGGACCCCATCGAGCCGGAGCTTGAGCTCAGATTGGGCCGCATCGGATGGGTGAGGAGCGGATGCTGCAGGTTGAGATGCGGAGTATGACAGCTCCGGAACAGGGACAAGATCGGACGATGATGCCAGCACAGGGGGGGTGTTCGAGGGTATTGAGGGTTTGGGAAGCTCATATGCCTCAAACCTGAGGGCGTGGTGCGTGGACGGCTCGTGATCTTCGTGGAGCTTGAAATTGTTAATGCTCAATGTTCCCTGGCGCTCGGTCTCGGGGATGTACGGCTGGGCACCGTTTTCAAGCGACTTTTGGACGTAGGCATCAAGAAAAGAGAGATTCTTGTCGATCTGGAAAACAAGAGAACACAATAGACATTAGGTGTTTCTGTGTGATGGGTGAGTGCAAGATTAGTAGCAATGAACGGAAAGTGGTGCTTATCAAATTTGTATCTTTATATACATCATAGTCAAGCCAGCAATTTGTTTTCCGGGCCAAACACCTAAAGTGTGTGTCAACTAAAAGTTAATGCCGACAAAATTGTATTACCTCGACATCATCACAAGTGGAATCCCTTGGCATTATCTTCTTAACAGCATCAGCATCTAAGCTAAGGATTGCTTGGAGTTCATAGGCACGCTGCTGAAGGTCAGTCGAATGAGATGCTAACATTTCTTCAATCAAGGATTGACACTGCCATCAACCAAGTTGTTAACCATGTAAAAATCTTTTGGCTTGTGCCCAAGGAATCATAAAGCTGGATCTTCAAACATGTGAGGAAACTAATAGAAATTAACTTATAAAACACTGATGAAAATCAAGTGTTCCTACAACTCCAGCAAAATCATTATCAGTTGCATCATATGTGGCCAAATGCGTAAATAATAGAAACGTTCTTTGAGACAGCTAGGGTCAAAACTACAATCCTAAATGCATACCTCAGACAGTATATCCACTGTTCTCCCAGCAGCTATTTCAAATGAATATATCTTCATAAGTGCTGTAACTGCATACGCCTTCAAAAGAAAAAAAAAAAAAAA